AATCAAATTATATGAAACTTCATTGTGTCATCGAACTGAACTGAGACATGACATCGTTATTTTGCAGTACTTACTTGCCAGGTATTTGGGTACACTGTAATCTACAATCTACAGAAAAAACCCATTTCAATGAAAAAGACGGAAGGCAGAATTTCTGTAAAAGCCATTTAGTTGCGAATAAAATCCATAAAGAATACTTGAAAGGACTAATATCTTTCATTTGGATTTTTCATCACTGTAGCATAGTGAGAAGGCGTTGAGTATTAATTATTAAAAACAGTGATGCTGATTTCCACTGAAGTGACTGGTGACCGACATCTTCTCTCTAATTGTTTGGCATTCAAGGAATGACTTACGTTGAGCACCTTTTGTTGAAATAGTGGACTTGCAGAACACCAGTGAACTTCGTAGTCAAGCACATGTGCAAATTATCACTGTAGGCTTACCGAAGAACACCATTCCTTGGTAGGTGTACTGTAGTGGTTAGCTCTCCCATTCCTATTCTATAATCGAAATCGCAACTGCTACAAAACTAAGGTGAAGTTTGAATATGCGTCGTGTGCCTCCAAACAAGCCTGGAAATAGCAAGGTATAAACTGTGGCACGCAGGTAGGATACGTAGGTTTGATCCAGGAACTTTGTGGTGTCTTTTTCAGGTATCCAAGTTTTTATGTAGTCTAATGCATAATTTTGTTTCCACTGTTGACNTAGAGGCCGCTCGATGGCCAGCCGTCAAGGTTTATTATATAAGGAAACCCCCTCTGAACAGAGCCTTCTTGCCCATGGTGTTCGTCAACATGCCCAAGTGAGCTTCTCCATTCCTCAATTTTGCACACGCAAGTTTGTTTGTGTTTACACCTCAAAAGTTTATCGTAATACATTGAGATTTATTCATAATGCAATGTTTACGATCAACATAAAAGAATACTCTAACAACCCTTCGAGAAAGATATGTGAGGTATGAAGTGAGGGAAAGCTTACTGTTTTCACAGAACATTGTATCACAGTAATCAGACGAGAATTTTGTTGAAATCAATAGTGAATAGGGAATACTTATGAACATTTGAATAATCTACAATACATTGGTAATACAGTGGATGATTGTTAAGGAACTGATGGAGGGGAAACTTTCAAGGATAGTAGTATAGACGGCTGGATAGGTACCTAAGGTAATATACAGAAGTTGGGAATTCTTTCGCTTCATAGTCAATGCAATAAGTCCTATCTGGAATACAAACAAAAAAGGATGGCTTCCATGATATCAGATCATTTGATGTAGCTGATAAGGAAAAGACTCAAACAAGGCTGTAGCTGTTACAGTGAAAAGCTGAACGGGCACGTCTCATCGGCAGCAAACTCAGAGAGGCTGCAACCCAACGGTGGGACATCATGTGAATGCGTTTCTGAAATTCTTGTTTTCTAGGTTGTTCAAATATGAGAAAAATAATAGGCTAACACTGAATGTTCCTGTAAGAAAAGGCTGCGTCTCAGCATATCCAAAAATAGGTTGAGAAAGAAGATTTTTTGGGCCTTCTCGGAATTCATGATTCCAAGCAGAACCGACGAGGTTTAAAATTCCTTTTCTTCACAGCACACTCCTTTTTTATGGGTTTGAGTTTTCCCCACTGAATGAGAAATGACCTCTAGTTCTGTCGTTCCTTTTTTTCGTTTTTGCCTAGTTTTATTTGTTTTGTTCGTCTTCACGGTAAATAATTTTTATATGATATGGGCACCAATGAGACGCTTATACCAGGCCTAACAACATTTACCTAATCAGCCGCGTCAATTTTCGAAATTGTTCGGTGGCGGGTCGAAAGCAAAATTATTAAGGACAGGGAATACGTAGTGTCTGAGAAGTTGCTTCGATTCATTCTGTAATGGGTCCTTTCTGAGATAAATTTTATCCCTGATGTTATGGGCCATCGGTTTAACGATTGACTGCACTTATACCTCATCGACTTTTGCTGAATGCTTCCGGCTAAGTATACTAGGCAGAGCTGAGTGGTCCCACTCGGCTCGGCCGCGGTAGACATACATAGCTATCCTTCTTATTACAGGTGTATGTTGCTTACTTGCATATGTGATATGCTTGTATAAACGATAAGTACGGGTGTGTGTAATTAAATTAGTTAATTTTCTGTCGCAGCGTTCTTTCTAATATAGTGATCTTGAAAATTTTAACGATGGATTTTGAAGTGCCTGAGCAAAAGTTTTGATCAAAAATGGCGAAGGATGGCGTATTACCTGATACCTGAAAACAATGGAAGGAACATCAAACAGAAAAGCACAGGAGGTTTATAGTTAATTTCGAAGTAAGCACTGCAAGAAAGTGAAGAAGTTCGTTGGCTTGCACAATGGTGATAACTATCGTCCAATCAGTACTTAGAGGAATTCAGTATGACTTTATTTTAGCAGTGAGTAGGCAAAAGTAGTTGCTCACAAGATATGAAAGCGCCATAGGTTGGCAACTTAATTTAATCACTCCAAGAAAATCACTTATGTCGAAGTTCTGTATTGTAAGTCTCTTCACCCGGGACCTACGGAGCCTTCTACAGGTTATGGACGCGCCGTAGGCCCTCGCACTCGCCGCACCCGATCGCAGGCTATAAAGGAAAATGTTTGAATCTCTAGTGGAAGGATACTGCAGGCACTCCCGCTTGCCGTGGGAATCTAGGGAAGAAGTACCGTCATCTTATGGATTAGCTTGTGTTATATAATGCTGCAGTTGGTGGAGACGGGAGGATTTCTGTGTATTGGAGGAGAATTGAACGACTTGAAATTATTTTTCTTGCAAGTGCCCCTACGTCTTTGTGAACTGTTCAGCTGGAACTGAACATCGATGGACAACGTTTCGATGCCCGCTGAGCACTGCTGCAGAAAAATGTGTCTTGAGTTTTGCGGGTGAATATTTCGAGCAGAGCTGGTGTAGCGGCACGTGGCGCGCTACAACACCCGCATGATGACGTGATCGTATCTATTATTTGGGTTTCGACGGGGCGATTTCGCACTTATTTTTTACGCGCAACACACACTTGTTCTGTATGAGGCTCTCCTCAGTAGTTTTAAGAATGAACTGTTCCATTTTCAAATCTCCCTTTTCTGGAAAAGGATAAGTCTTCGTGAAACCTCACCGCCCGTATTCGACGACTACAAATACAACATCGACTCCTCTGATCAGGAACGGACGTGACACTGCAATAGCAATAGTTGGCTACATGAGGCACGATAATTTCGTGAGAAACGGGTTACATTGTTGGCTCAGCAACAGGTTGTTCTTCGTTCTCCATCAACAGTTCGATTTCTTCATCGACCTACAAAGTACGGGTTTTCATTGAAAACAGCAGAGCATTAGTTGCGAAAATGCATACCGAAGCAACTTTTCTAAGAAGCTTCTTGTTGAATACAGTCGCTTTAACGGGGCTGAAATGTAAATGATGGGTATACAGAGGTAGAAGAGAAATGATTCGCCTTTGAAAACAAAAAACTGACATATTACAAGAAGGCCGATAGTCAGGACAAGAGGTAGACTGTCGTAATCTTGACTGAGGATACCGACTGAGCTCTTCTCGAACAGCGGCAGATCGAATGTGTTTTTCTTGTTCTTGTGAAATCTGCGTCAGAGTACGTCGCTTTGCCATCAGAAGCGGACCACTACCTTTTCGAATAATTCGCAGAGAGAGCGTGACGTTGTGTGACAGAGAAAACCGGAGAATCGAGGCCGCCTTGAAAAATCAGCATTTACTAAGTGGCATGGCGATGAATAAAAATCGTCCCAACGAGCTTCATTATAATGCCCAGCAGCCGTATAAGTGGGTACAGTAGCCCTATTTCTGCAACACAATTCAGCCTGCGGCACGCTTTTCACAAGGGCTTTTTTACCCTTCATTGTAAGGTTCTATATTCATTCCTGACAAGGCAACTTATCACTTACTCGATCAAAATTTTCGTCCCCATAATTTATAGGTCAAAGAATCACAATAAGAACTCAAAACTGGCAAGAGCGGTTCCACCGATGGGGGCCTTACACAGCTCTGTGAGGGACGCGGCGCCAGGTGTCCCTCGCAGGGATACTGTAGACACTCCCTTACTGACCGTAATCTTGACGGTTTAGGAAAACCCCTTTTTCCATGACCGTGTCATTGTAAGATTGAAAGGGGAGCTTCTAGAAGAAGTGGACTTTCCGGCCTTTGGGGGCTTTGCTTTTTTGATGTATTGGACGCTGGCGCACTATTCAGGAATACTGCTTTCGTTCCATAGCTCTTGAAGCTTATATCTTGTCATTGCTAGCTTTGGCTAGGGGATATGCCGTATGGCCTCCCAATTTCCTAGTATGCCCAAAGCATTAGCATATTAAGCATATCCTGATAAGCTGTACCTGTTCGCATGTGATCCCAGACATACTTTTCCCATTGCATTCTTTGATGAGATCACCTTCCTGTAGAAGTGCAGCCTAAAGTGAAGGATTACCTGATCATGAGTTCATTGGAGAGCTTCTCGTAGACCTACCTGCTGAGACTTTCCATCCACATAAGACACGAATATACCGCTCGATCGACTTCCAATAATTCGAAAGGCCAAGCCTCCCGGATGTGAAGTTTCTCGGTGTATCTCTACCTGAATAATGGGCTATTTAAGTCATGAGTCTGACAATGTTATGGACGCTCCACCTCAAGTTCACAGTGATCGTCGTCACAATGTATTTGCCAGTCGATAAGCTGTGATTCAACAACGTCTTCATTTTCTTCCACACTGCAAAGATTCGAGTAAGCAGAGAATGGCCTCGAGCGCATAGACAGTGTCGAAGAGCATGGAATTGAGTCGTACATCCGTCAGGTGCTTTGTTCACAAAGATCGCTTCTCTCTTAGGATCTAAAAACAATGAGAACTATGGAGTAAGGCTTTACAACTCTAATGATAAGAATAAAACCCTATGGGCAACTAAACTTCAGCACGCGTTGGAATGTCGTGAAAATTGGAAAGGTCAGTGCGAGCAGCTCTGAGTCTCTTACAACTCAGGCTCCAGGAATGAACAGCAATTGGTAATTGTGGTAGACCAATTTTCTGGTCCAGCCTTTGACTGTCAATCATTCCCCTGACTAAGCCCTTTGCTTAACTATTGCCACGACTTCAATTTTGCAGGATTCTTCATAGATTCAGCACGATGATTGTCCCAGAGCTCTCATCAGATTAATACCCAGCACACTTGACTGTGAGTAAGATTTCATCGTTTGAGCCCCAGGAATATTCGCTGTTTCATAATTTGAGGAAGAGAGTCTCTGAGGAGGGTTTCCTCTGAGGAAATTCCCATGCCAGCCGAGTTGCCAGCTTCCATTCTTAAAAATTTGCACTCAATGAATAAATTGCAAAAGCTTCATGTGAAGTGTATTATGAGCAAAGACAGCCTTTGATGTTCTCAGGGAACTTTTCGGTTCTGAAATGATCAAATTTTTTCGAAAACTTAACGCCACTTCCACAGCTCAATTTGGGCGTGGTCGACACGATCAGATGGGATATACAAGAGAATATACTAGCTTAAGAATGAAAATATCTCTTAGTCGATTATGTGGAGGTTAGAGCAGGATGGCATAGCATTCAGGCGTAGCACTGTTATCCCTGAATCAGATTCTACTAAGCTGGCCAGTTATCTCGGCCTTGACTCCATATTTTTGTATGAAACACACTTTAATACGAGTCTCGCAAACCCGTCTTATCCATGCCATCCATGGAAAGGAGAGCAACGTTCAAAGAACCAAAAGGATGTCCAGAAAGTTTTCTCAATGATAACAAATTGATAAATCAACAGAAAAAAAAGATACCTGGTTCCCTGAAAGAGTGTGCGATTTGCTTTAGCCTTGAAATTGATTCTATCCCCAGATCAGTTCAGTTGCCAAAAGCGCTGAAGTTTTCGCTCGATTTAGGTGGAGACCATTTGCTAGTAAAGAATAGGTTATTCAGCACATACATTCGAAGGAATTAATTTTCCGAAGAACACGATGAAAAAAAAAGGAAAAAAGAACTATTTGGTATGTAGAAAACAAGCTGAAGATGAAGGAAAAGAAGCAAGAAGGCCGCATGAAGGAATAAAAGTTGAATCATACGCGGGCCTTCCTTGCAAGTATAGAAAGTCTGTAAGAATATGATGAAGACCTTCGACAACCCTGTCCCCGGTGCAAAACGCAGAGAGACCTACCGCAGAGTACTGAAGTACCGTTGTTTTTCGAAAAATTGTTGCCTGAACTTCTTCGCATTAAGATTACCTTTGAGTAGCATCCAAGGTTTTCAAGAATGTGGGGTTTGGGAAACTTCAAGAAAACTCGTCTAAGCGCATCTGATGTTTCTGCTACCATGATCTTTTACTGACCATACTGGGAATTTTTCGCGAATATGTTGATAGATGGGCACGACAAGGTAGTCATGAAGACTGGGTATGGTAAAGTCCGCATATTGGCCTCATCAAAGTTCTATAGCAGCAAAATATTGAGTGACATAGAAGACTCGAAGTCAGCCAGTGTATGGCACCGAAAACAACTCAGGCAGAGGTATGGACAGACCAAAGCCACTGGTGCAACACGTCATCCTGAATAATGCTCAGGAAAAATGATACCGTATCAGTGCCTTAAGAGTTCTCCTACCACGATAAGTCTCCAAATGCGAGAGTAGTGAAGAAGGCAGCTGATTGAGATATGTAGAGAACAAGAATTCTAGAGTGTGCGCTAACGATGTGTCCCAAAAACACTCGCAAACTTCAGTTCCTGAGATCGCTTCAATCAAATGCAGTACATTCGACCAGCTACAGTCGGTACGTGAGCAACTCTAAAAATCTTCCGAACTGCGCCATGGTTCAAATTAATTTCTTTCATTCGCATGAGCGAACTTGCTAGATACTGAAGTCTCCGCCTGAGGGGAGCCTGACAATAGCTTTTGAGGAAGAAATAGAGATAAAGGCTCATTTGCTGAGGGCCCGAAGAAGTTCATTGGAGGCTCAGGTAGATGTGAGGGATAGTAAATATCAAATCAGCGGTCAGCCGTCCGGCCTTGTGAATTGGGCAAAGAAGGAATGCGACCGTTGCCGTTATGAAAGGATTGAAGATAGTGCGCAGGAAGGGCAGATAAACGGCTCTAACATTCAACTGTGATGAGATTTATATCGGTCAAAGGATAGATGCCCCAGGCTTTTGTTGTCAGAGGATATCTAATAAGAGGAAGACGGGAAAATTTCATATTCTTCTTCTCAGTCAGCACTGATCGGACAAAATTTGAAGCAATAAATTCAGTTGTTAGACGAACGAAACGTAAGGTGATCTCACGAAAACCACGAAAACGATGGGAAGG